TTCGAGTTCTGTACGCTCCCATAGAAGATGGTTTTCTTTTACATTTTTTGAAAGCAAAATAAGAAATTTAATCCCAAAAACAATGTTGATTTTGGTAACTATACTGACATATCATCCACTTTCCGAAGATATAAACTGAATCCAAAACATTATTAGCATAAAATGAATGGCCAATAAACATTCGAACAGCTACATACCCAATTAGTGTTTGCAATAACATTTAGCACCATATCCAAAGCAAAGATACTCACAAAAATGATGCTGAAAATATATATCCATAAAGATCGAATACATACCAACAGCACTTCCAATTGCACAGAGCCAAAGGATCTTCGAGGACCATCTATCGCCAATTACTCCTCGGTTGGCAAATCCCATATTATCCTGTCGAATTCAGTTTCGAATCAGTACATTATGCAAAACCAAGGCAGCTTTTGTACTGCGAACACCGATTCCCAAAGAACGATGAAATCAGGACACAAAGCTTCAGCTCTTAATAAATTCAAGAAAACAATATCAGGATACAAAGCTTACATCCATGATCTAACAAAGAAAAGCTTCAAAAATTGACATCCAAGATTGATGCAAATGCTCATGCTATTGAAGCAAAGGCAAATTAAAATTGGAAAAAAAAAACACTTATTGTATTCCATTTTACCAAACCAATTGCATGATGGATCATTATCAAACGACTAATCAAAATATGGAAACAAAAAAACTAAGCTCAGAATGAAGTACGACGAAAATAGCAGTGCGGCATTTCGTCTTAATTCAAGCTTCAGCTCAAGATAAGATTACTACATCATCAAATCCAGTTATGGAGTTCCGAATTGTAGATGACGAGCTTGAAGATGACCTACCTGAGCAACGATGGAGAGAGAGAGGTTTTTTGAGCGACAAGGGTTTTCAGGTGTCGGGCAGTGACAGTATCTTTGATTGTACTAAAGTCGCGTTAAAACCACAACGTTTTCTCACTACAAAATCGGTTTTACACTTCCGCATTAGTGTTGTTGTAATCAAATCAAACGTGCCGATCTTGAATTTGTCCGCCGCTTATTTGTGTTGAGCAAAAAAATACGTTCGAGCTCTTGTTTGTTTAATTTTTTGTTGAAATTTTTGATCTAATCTATTACTATATAATACGGAGAAGGAAAAATGTTTGAATAATGTTTGAATAAATATTTCATTTCCCACTTAAACATCATTTTTTCCCTCTCAAATTTTTCGAAAATTACCTGTTTTGGAAACTCTTTTTGGATTTTTTTCATTTATCCCGCCTAACTTAATTTGATTTTGGATGTGATTTATGGAAATCGGATTGTTTTATTTTAGGATAAGATTCGGTTGTTTTTTTGTTAAATTTGTTATAATTCCTTTTCTTTTGGATGAGATGAGATTTGTTACCATTTTTTTTAAATCCGATTTGGTACATTTTTAATTCACTCGCTTTTCCTTTTTTTTCACGTTTTATTTCACTCGATTTTCCTTTTTTTCTGATGGGTTGAGATTTGGTAAATTTTGTATTTTTAATTTTTTTAATTTTAATTCACGTTTTTAATTTTAATTTCACGTTTTGAATTTTTTCCTTTTAATTTTTTTTTAATCCGATTTTTTTTTTCAAACATTCGGTAAAGTTTTTTTTATTTTTTTTTCATAATCCCGCCTACATTTCAATTGTAATTTATTTGGACGTATATCATAATCCGTTTTTTTTAATCGATTTGGTAGGAATCGGATATTTCCTTTTTTTTTGGAAGGGAGTTGATATAAATCGGATAACATCAATTTAAATTAATTAATTATGAAATTTAATTTCCTTTTTTTTTCCAAATCCGATTTATATTATATAGATAGATTTCACTTCCTTTTTTTGTAAGCGATTACCTTTTTTTTTTTAAGCGATTGTTTCAATTAAATGTGCACTAAGATCGGGTTGACCGAATTAAACAATTTTGAATAATATTAAATTAATCGATTACTATTAAATTAATTTTATTTGATTTTCACGTCTAAAATTTTCCAAAATACTATTTTTATTTTTGTGGAAAATGGCGGTTGGATGAAAAAGTCAAATTCAAATTAAAAAAAATTGTTATTTTGAAAAAGATATTTTGTAAACCTTAATTCATAAAAATATGGTCAATGATAACTTTAAATACAACGGGTAAATATGGTCAATGATATCATAAATTATATTTTATATTCGATAAGTTCAACTTAATTGATGATTTTGTTTGTTAATATTTGCTTAACTACAAAATATTTTAAAGTTTATAAAGAATCTCATTTTATGTAGGTTCTTGGTACTTTTTTATTTGTACATATTCATTTTTCATCCCATATCCAAATACAAATTTAAATGCGGATCTTACATGTTTATTAGAAATATATGTATATTTTTTCAAAAAGTATGACGATCATATAATTAATTTTATCATATATCATATGTTGGATGTTTTAGTTTGGTTGGGACACTCATTATATTCAAATAAATAATATATAATTTTTCATATTTAGTATTTCTTTTTTTATAATAATAAGATGTTAAACATAAATAACTATATATAATATAAAGTCTTAGAAAAGGTTTTAAGTAAAAACCCCTCCGTGCAGCGCACGGGATACACACTAGTAATTTAGCAAACAAATTAGTCAAATTGTTTAATTAACTCAAAATTAGTTCGTTCGAGCTTAAGAATAAAAAATATTTTCAACAATTAAAGTTAATATTAAAAATATCATATATATAAATAATTAAATAAAATTAAATTATATTAAACCAATGTTTTCGTAAATATTATTGAACGTTGTGAACGAACTTGTGTTACTACTAAACATCTATATATATATAATTACTGGCTAATAGCATTTAATAAAACCTCATTTCGATTTCCCTCCAAAAGCCGTTACAAACTTTTTCATTTATATCTCTCTCTATATTTAATTGCTAACAATAAATTTAATAATATTAATTATTGTTTACCATATTTTTATGTTACAATCTTCTATTATTATTATTATTATTATTATTATTATTATTATTATTATTATTATTATTATTATTATCTATATATATATAATTACTAGCTAATAGCATTTAAGAAAACCTAATTAATAAAACATCTAAAATTTTTCCTCCATTTTCGGTTACAAAATTTATCATTAATGTTTTTTACTTCTCACATTAATACATCCTATTGAGTGTAATCATGTATCTTTCTATTATATTATATAATATTAAGACAATACCAACTAATAATAATTCACAATAAATTTAAATTGCATAATTATAAACAATTGCTTCAAGTTATTTATTTTAACATCAATATTATCTTTTTCTTTTGTATCTCGTGAAAAAATTTCTGTAAAAACAATTAGTAAATTGTTTTAATAGCATAGTCAAACAACTTTAGAATCTTATAAACAATTGTTTTTGTAATAATAATAATAATCAAACTGCTATTATCTAATGATAATAAGTAATTGTTCATAATAACAAACAATCATTAATTTATTTGTTCTAATGATTAAATTTTAAAAATGTAATATGTTCATTATCTAAAATTTCAATATTATATTCCTATTTATAATATTTTATGTACATCTGTGCATGTGCACAGGATATTTACTAGTGTTTAATTAGAGTTTGATTCAATTAACAAATGCACGAGTTATTATCGAATATGAGCGAACTT